TGGAGACATGGCACTGATCTAGATGGAGACATGGCACTGATCTAGATGGAGACATGGCACTGATCTAGAGGGAGACTTGGCAGTGATCTAGAGGGAGACATGAAAATTACTGATTTATAGAATTTAACCTTCTAGCATGAATTTTAAAAAAAATATATATATATAACTTGATGGAAGTTAGTAGAATGGAGGGCAACTGCCTGTTGTAGAAACATGTGTAGAGGATGATGTTTTGAATGTCTTCCACCTTTCGTCTTCGGGTCAATGTGTGTATGGTGTTGTTGGTCTTTGTATTATTCTGGTGGATTGTGGATGGTGTATTATGATTGGTTGGTTTGTCTCGGTTTCCTGATTGGTGGTGAGACTTTCAGTAGATTCAACCAACTGTAACCACAGGTTACTCACCTCTAATCAGGAATCTCTGTTTAATGAAGGTTTTATTGTGTTAATGTAAAAGGATTTTTTAATTTTTTTCGTCTTCCAAAATTTGTCTGTGTTGGTGATCCTAGTTTTTTCCTGGAAGACTTTCGAAACTTTGTCCTCTACATTTTTGTTTCTACAACAGGCAGTTACCATCCATTCAACTAAGTTTCATTGTGAATACTCTGCCTAAACAATCTATCAAAGAATATATATAGCTTCTTTCTCTAGTTGATCATATTAAGTATATATATTACTTAACACTAGCAGTAGAACAGAGGAATGGAGATTTAACTGCTTATTGTGTTTGACATGGATGTAATTTTATTTTGTAAAGCACTTAAATCTTGAACTAAAGAATATTTTTTTTATTTTTAGTATATGGAGAGCAATAATGGGGTCTTCACTTTGTAAATATAGCATGTTTTGTTTTTTCATGATACAATAGTGTCAAAAAAATATTTTTTCAAAACAATTTGATATTTTGTTATGATAATAAAAAAGATCATGTGGCGTCATAAACATTACTTTTATTACTCTGTTTTTTAGTATTTTGTGTAGATATTTTGAGAGGGGTTTAAAATAAATAGTGCAACATCAGTTTTTCACTATGCCAGCTATGCTTTCTATCACTGTCATAAACATAAGTAGTCTTAGTGATAAAAAACCAGAAATTTAACATATTTTTTTTCAGTAGAACAACACCAGAATACTAAGAAAATTGTACCAGAGAAAAAGGACATAATTCTTCAACCTCATGAAATTTTAGCGTAAGTTCATTTACAAAAATTGGAACAGTTAACTGAAAAGATAAATCAAATTTTGACATTATGGTTACATAAAGTGTGAACTTGTGTTACAAAAACTATTATTGTTTTGATATCAGTTTTTTTAAGTGAGCTAGGCTGTGAACCAGAAAGTTCGAGGTTTGAGTGTGCAATATGCCACTGAATATACTTCACACTTTCAGCTGGGGACATGTTATAAAAGTAACCGTCAACCCCACTAATTGATTAAGAAAAGTCGTGCAGGTGATGGGTGATGCTTACTGGTTGCCTTTCATCTGGTCAGCAGCTTTAAATTAGAGATAGCTGTCTCTGAGATATCCATTTAGCCCATATATCATATAAGATGCTGTTTAGATCAAAAATACCAAACAGCTTTTGTTGCTTATGTTTTACTTACTCACTGAACAGGGAGAGATGGAGACATTTCATGAAAGTGACCAGGGGTTGATAGACCTGGGTGCTTTAGGAACATTGAACTTACTTTTGTAATGTGTCCTTTAGATGCCTGAACTTTGACTTAAAGTTTGCATGAACAGAGGTCATGTTTATGCAGAATTCTGCATTAAATACACAGGAAATTTTAATAAAATGGAAAAAAATAATAGCAGTGCATTTCTAAATCTCAGATGTAATAAGGTTTACCAGTTCAAATTACCAAGTGCTTTTTATGTAATGCAATGTAAAAATGTTACACTGCTCCAAGCAGCCTTGTAAAAAAAAATGCCAAGAAACAAACAAACCCAGATACATATATTAAAAAGCTACAGGAGTTTGGTAACAAGGAGTGAATTAGGTCATGTTTCTCAGTTGATAACAGTATTATCTGATTAGACTCGGGGTTTTCTTACTACATTATTCCCTACTGGGTTCAAACTTTGTAAGGTAAAGCTGTAATAGTTAAAACTTGTATATCACAGAATGTATTAATGTTATTTTACCTTTTTTTTACTTACTTAGGTTATTTTAGGACTATATGGTCAACAATGATTAATCAAAAATGCAATATTTTCATATTGGAAGTATCTTCTTTCATGTACAAAACACTGAAAATTTGGTTGCAGTGTTACATAGATAACTTTTAAAAACATTACAAGTATCATACAATCATTGTAAAAAAGAAACATTACAGTGGCTAGCATACAGAAGTTACAGGGTTGTTAACACAAAAATACTATATTATCTGAATAGACTCAGTTTTATTCTTATTCATTCCCTAATTGTTTTCAAACTTTGTAAGACAGTTATAATTATCAAAAGTTTCATTTTACAAAATAAATTGATGTTCTCTTAATTAATTCTCTGTTAATGGTTTATATCCCTCCTAATTCATCTTGTATTAAAAAAAAAGAAACAAATTACAAGGAATGAAATGTAAGTCATTCATAGGAACAAGTTAGTAGGGATGTAATGTAAATCATTAATAGACAAGTACTGAACATAACATTACACTTTGTAAACAGGAACAAGTAAGTCATTAACAGAGAAGTACAAACCATAACACTACACTTTGTAAACAGAAACAAGTTAGTAGGGATGTAATGTACATCATTAACAGAGAAGTACTAAACATAACACTACACTCTGTAAACAGGAACAAGTTAGTAGGGATGTACTGTAAGTCATTAACAGAGAGAAGTACTGAACATAACACTACACTCTGTAAACAGGAACAACTCAGCAGGGATGTAATGTAAATCATTAATAGAGAGAAGTACTAAACATAACACTACACTCTGTAAACAGGAACAAGTTGGTAGGGATGTAATGTAAATCATTCATAGAGAAGTACTAAACATAACACTACACTCTGTAGAAAAAAAGAAGAAGATGAATTAGGAGGGATATAAATCATTAACAGAGAAGTACTGAACATAACATTACACTCTGTAAACAGGAACAAGTTAGCAGAGATGTAATGTAAGTCATTAATAGAGAAGTACTAAACATAACACTACACTCTGTAGAAAAAAGAACAAAGTGTAGTCTTAAATGAAGTACATCTCCAAGAATATTTTGTATTACATCCCTATTAATTCAACTTGTTCTTTATTTGACAGAGTATAGTTTTATGTTCAGCACTTTACATCATACTCCTGCAAATCTAGCATGTTCCTTTTTTGCAGAATATATTCTTGTGATCAGCACTTCTCTGTTGGTAGTTTGAAGTATATACTTGCTAACTTAGCTTTTTCCACTGTTTGTTTTGTGTTCAACACTTCACCTTCATTGTTTTATGTTTGCTTCGAGCTAACTCAACTTTTATAGATTCTATGAAAAATGAAGATCACTGTGTTTGCTACTCTTTGGTTGTGATTCAAAGGAGTTTATAACTACTGCATTTGTTTATATTCTCACAACATCTACTGTGCTTGTAGTTTTCTGTCTACTTTATTAAGAGTTTAATTAAATAATTAATTTACTTATCTGTGTCTTGTAGTGGTTGATTATATTTATTAAAGAATATAGTTTTTTATTAAAGTTTTCTGATAAGTAAAAATATGAAACTTGAGATGTTATTCCAGGTTATATGCTTCACAAGCTCAAGTAGCTAGAGGAGAAATCATTAGTTTGTCTGAAATGTATTGTTCAGGAAATCGGCTTTACTTAGTTGTGGATACCACTCTTCCTCTCCGTGAAAGCTACAAGAAGAAAAGGAATGCAAAACAAGAACAAAGAGAGAGAACCAAATATACAAGCAGTACTGATGGTTCCAAAAATATCGGTGCTAAGATTTCTGATAGGAACCATCATGCGATGCTAGAAATTTCATCAGATAGCTTAGGCCTTGTAAGTAGAGTTTGTTACAGCAGAAACATTTCTAAGCTTCAACAGCTTACAAGTAGTTCCAGTCTCAGTTAGTTTAAAGCCTGTAAATATAGTTGTAAAGAAATTGATTGTGGTAGAAATAGCATGTCATTTACATTTCCTAATTTTGCTAGTGAATTAAAGAAATTTAATCTAGTAAAAATTGGATGTTTTTTAGGTTTCCTAATCTGATTTAGTTGGTAAGTTAAATATATTGAACTGAATAGAAATTTCATGTGCTTTACTCCTCTAATTTCCTAAATGAGCTAACATCTTCATTTATAATCTGTATGTGTTTAGACTCCTAACTGGTTGAAGAAAGAACTAGAAGGTCCAGTCATACCAGATATGGCTGGTTTTTCACTTAATGACCAGAAAGAGATAGGTAAGTTTTTTGTTTTAACATGTTTAATTTATAAACTGTGAATGTTCTTTAATGACTGATTAAATTGTATTCTGGCTTTTAGACAAAGTATTGCTCTCATGAAAACCACTACTAAAGAGACCTCTTTGTTATCTGGCTTCTAGCCAAAGTATTGCCCCATGAAAACTAGTACTAAAGAAACCTCTTTGTTATCTGGCTTCTAGCCAAAGTATTGCCCCATGAAAACTAGTACTAAAGAAACCTCTTTGTTATCTGGCTTCTAGCCAAAGTATTGCCCCATGAAAACCACTATTAAAGAAACCTCTTTGTTATCTGGCTTCTAGCCAAAGTATTGCCCCATGAAAACTAGTACTAAAGAAAC